TTTTAAAAAAAATCGTTGCATAAAAGATGCGAAAATTTTGAAATCGATAAAATCCGTTAAATTATTTAAAAACCCTTCATCCCCTGAAAATTTTCATAATTGAGCCTTTCCACGCGAAAATGAGACTCGGTATTTTTTTGGTTTTGGCTTAGTAAAACCATAAATAATGGTCCATACTATAATATGTTATATATTTTTGGAAAGCTCTCGAGTTAAGCTTTCAATGTGGGTGAAGAAAAATTAATTATATTATCAAGGGTTGGAAACTTTCAGGTTTGAAACTGTCGATCAACATACATTTTTGCGCGACACGCTGTGCTTTACTCTTTAAAGCAAACAGGATTATTTTAATTGAATTAGATTAAGTAAATAAGGTATTAATGCAAAAAGGAAAGTTTTTCAAATTATTTTGCTTGGTTTTATTTTTATGAGCTATCAAACCTTGGGAATTTTTCTGTTCTTTTTTTATAAAAATGCTTATATCTTGTCCAAACATTCGAATTAATCGATGATTTAAACGCTGTTTATCTTATTTTTTTCATACTTTAAATTTAAGCTCAAAACTACTTCCAAGGGGTGGAAACTTTTGTAAAAAAAAGTTATCAACCCTTGAATTTTTTCTTTTTTTCTTTTTAAACTATTAATTAAAATTGTTATTAAATATTATGAACCTAGAATAACATAGTTTTTATTAAAACTAATAGAAAAACATAAAAACTTAAAAAAATTAATGCATAAATGATTTTTCATGGTTTTTCTTGGAATCTGTATCAAAATCGTCTTTTTATATCTCAGTATCTCATTGTCATTAATTATTAATGAATCAGAAACGGAATCAGAGTATAAAAAGACGATTTTGATACAGATCCCAAGAAAAACCATGAAAAATCATTTATGCATTAATTTTTTTTAAGTTTTTATGTTTTTCTATTAGTTTTAATAAAAACTATGTTATTCTAGGTTCATAATATTTAATAACAATTTTAATTAATAGTTTAAAAAGAAAAAAAAGAAAAAATTCAAGGGTTGATAACTTTTTTTTACAAAAGTTTCCACCCCTTGGAAGTAGTTTTGAGCCTAAATTTAAAGTATGAAAAAAATAAGATAAACAGCGTTTAAATCATCGATTAATTCGAATGTTTGGACAAGATATAAGCATTTTTATAAAAAAAGAACAGAAAAATTCCCAAGGTTTGATAGCTCATAAAAATAAAACCAAGCAAAATAATTTGAAAAACTTTCCTTTTTGCATTAATACCTTATTTACTTAATCTAATTCAATTAAAATAATCCTGTTTGCTTTAAAGAGTAAAGCACAGCGTGTCGCGCAAAAATGTATGTTGATCGACAGTTTCAAACCTGAAAGTTTCCAACCCTTGATAATATAATTAATTTTTTTTCACCCACATTGAAAGCTTAACTTGAGAGCTTTCCAAAAATATATAACATATTATAGTATGGACCATTATTTATGGTTTTACTAAGCCAAAACCAAAAAAATACCGAGTCTCATTTTCGCGTGGAAAGGCTCAATTGATTCTAAACGATGACAATGTCATTAAATTTTCCACAGCACATCCATTCAAAAAAGAAAATAAATGGAAAGTTTTCCTCGCTAATGCTTCAATCACTGACAATAAAGAAAGAAATAATTTTTTTTAAGTCTTTACAACAGCATGAAAAATGGAAATTAATGAATATCTATGAAGTATAATTTACCAAACGAATAAAGAATGATAAAATATAAATGATGTTTACAGAATTATCAAATTAGAGGGTTTTCGTTACACAATAGCGCATGAAATGTAGCACAACATGATACTTAAAACCGCAGATAATGAAGGGGACATTTTTATTCAATAGCAAATTGTCAAACTATCGAGTTAATGACAACAGTCGTTACTTCACAACTTAAATTATGAATTATTACGAGCTTGTTTAATTAAACTATACACACGCTTCATGGCAAGTTTTTCTTAATGACCGACAATTTAAAAATCATTTCAATTAATAATTCAATACTCAATAAGATGGTTTAAATGTCTTTTAATAGTCAAATATGTTACCTGAAATCAATATCTGTCGATTATCATTTGTTTAGTTGTATAATTGCATGCGTCAATTGGCTATTGATGATGATAGGCTGGTAGGTTATATGTTGGATGTTGAATCGTTTTGAAATTATAGATTGGATTTTGACGTTCTTTAAAAACATGATTTTTAAACTCCCCTCATAAGTGAAAGGCTCCAAACTGAGATTAAGCTAATGTCTAGGATTTAAAGGACTCCCTGTTTTGATGGTTAAGGTTAACATCATGTGACATTTTGTTGACACCCCACCTTAAATAATTAAATTCTTAAGAATCAATTGACAAAAGTATCTACTAAAACTGTTACTGGAATCCGCAGGGTTGGCAAAAACCTGGACCTAGTGCTTCTTGACAATCGTCTATTCGTAAAAAAGCGGCTCAGAGAGCTTACGGCATTAGCTAGCAATCACGTTAGATTCAAAAGTTTCGTGAACGCCCTACACTTCACAGTGGAGTAAAAGGACATCATCATCATCAAAACTTTTACGGACTTGATTAATCTTAAATTCTGAAATGTAAAAATTAAAACCAATTGGGTCGATTTGCAAACATTTATATTTGTCACTCTGCTAAAAGAAACAATTGCTAAAATTTGAGGAATTAGATGAATGGTTAAGAAATGTTTCCTATCAAAATAAAATTAGCGGGTTTAAATCAAGGGTGTGGTACTGATGAAATGATCAAAAATGATCAAAAAATGATCAAAAATGATCAAAATGTAATTCTTCAGTTCCACACCCTTGTTTTAAATCCCAATGCCAGAAGTAAAATTTATAGAAGCGCATCAAAATCAAAACATGTTTTTTTATTTTTATACATTTTTTTTATTAACTTTTTTTTTTAAATTTATTCGAAAAATATATATAAATTACATTTCTTTTCATTTTCATGGAAATTTTCACTTTACTATTTCGGATTTATACACAAAACTTTCTGCAAAAATGTGCAGAAATTATTTTAAAAAATCGTTTTCTTATCGCATTTGTTGTCTTATAAGCAGCACCATTCTTAATTACACATGAATTTTGATTCTTATATTATTTGTTGCTTATTCTATTACTGATTTTATATCTCTTTTTGAAAATAGATGAATAATTTGAAGAATCAATAGAATTATATACAAGATTAAAGTTATACAGTTCAGGAGATGGGAATTGTTGACTGTTTGATGGGAATGGGCTAGTTCATAAGTCAAAGAGGGCGATTAGGTTCTTAGTTTTGAAGTTAGGATAGTCGGAAGTTAAGATTTGATCGAAAATTGAGTTTATTGTAGCTTAGATTGCTAAATTCAAACTTTAAGTGCTAAGAAAGGTTCTGCATAATTCATCATCTCTAAAACTTAGGTTAGAACCCAACAAACTAGCACAACAGTTAGTATAGCTTCCCATTTACTGCACCTTTCCCTTACAATATAATTTTCTTACAAAGTTGGTCTCAACAGACAAGAATTGGAGATTACGAGAAGATAAATGCTCTAAAAATAACTTTCTACAAGCAATAGAATATGAATAAGTAGCTTTCAAAAGACATTTCTAAGAGCCATCTCATCCATTATAAAACGTTACATTTAATGCCTTAAATTTACAATAAACTTGTTTTTTCTTCCATTTCTCATAAACTTTAATAATTGTGGATAAAAAATAATTTTTTTTTCAGCAATAATAATTGTCAATAATGTATAATAATAATCATAAAATAATAACGAAGTATAATTCATTTTTATATCACCATTCTTTTAATTATTTTATATTTTCTCATTTCATAAATGTAGATTAGAATTGTTGGGGGTTTGTTCGTAAATTACGTGACGTTCTGGGATGTCGTTCTTATCGCCGTTGTTACGCAACTTATTACAAACCCCCTAATTTTGAAAGACGTAATTAGATGCAAATTACATAAAATTATTAACTTAATTAATAAGGAAATATGTGACCATCTCGAGCCATCTACTCAATTCTGTGTAATGTTGTGGATTATGCAATCGTTTGAAGATATTTCAGAATAGAAAAATTGCTCGTATAACAACACAAAATGTATATTTTAAAGATCAGCAAGTGCCATTAACCTTTTGAGATTAGAAACATTCGAAACAAGTAGCATATTGGATATAACAACTTTTATCAGTTCAATTTTAATACTCTGTAAGCTTCCGGAGTTTATTTAGAGGTCATTTAATAAGATGAAACGAAAAAACTTTATTATTTCGATCAGAGGCAACAACTCAGCAATTAATATGCAGCTTTTATTCCAAATCATAAAAAATAGTATTGCAAAACTGATATGCTATAAGGCTATACCAATTAGTAACAAGATATCCGTATGAATACTAAAGCTTGCATTTCGAAATTACCAAAATCATGCGTTAATCGGAAAATACACAAAATTTCGAAACTGTAGTTTTAAAATAAATTCAATGAACGTATCAAATTGTGATTTTGACAAAAAATCAAAAATGACACGCTTAGCATTAAAATAATTCGACTTTGACAGAGTTGGGGATTGATGGAGCTATGGAATCCGTCTTAAAGAAGCATGAGGGTGCATAAACAATACATATAAGTTCTGAAGCACGCCAAAGTTCAAATGAAATTCTATCAAGCCCAAACTCTGAAGTCACCTCATGCTTAATGTAAATTATATATTTTATATCAATTCCTGTTTACAATAACTTTATATACTCTGTATTCATAAGACTTTAGGACATTACATCAAAAAAAAATCTTATTTAAATTCATATTTTTAACAATGACAAAAGAAATTAAAATTTTTATGAAAAGACAAAAATGGCATTTTTAATGCATTGCTTTTAACAATTTTTCTTTCTTGCATTTAAAAAAGAGAGAGAATTCTTACTATTTGATTAATCAATTTATAAGATTTTGTGGAAGATACTTTTATCTCAGACTTCGTTTATTTGGCTAATGGATCGAAGCTTTCAATACTGAAATCGTCAATATTGATGCCATTCTTCATCTGCAAGAGAAATAGAAAAATTTTATTAATTGAATGTCACATTTTGATATTTGAGATTTTAATTAACATTAGCTGAGTAAAGAGTCTGTTGTTTAAATGATTTGAAGGTCTGGATATGGTTAATTATGATGTTAAATCGTTAATATTATTAAATTCTTAGCCAAAATAATTTTTTATCATTTTTAACGTATATCAGAATTTCAAATTTTATTACACAAAATTCAAATCTTACAAAACCGTTATTTTTGCTATAATTTTTTCAAATCTTACAAAACTGTTATTTTTGCTATAATATTTTTCAAATTTTACAAAACCGTTAATTTTGGTATAATTTTTTCAATCTTACAAATCCGTTATTTTGCTATAATTTTTTTTTTTCAAATTTTACAAAACCGTTAATTTTCATATAATTTTTTAAATCTTACAAATCCGTAATTTTGCTATAATTTTTATAAATCTTACAAAACCGTTTTGTCAAATTTTTAAATCCGTATTACAAACTTAATCATCCCATGAAAACAACAGTTTCTTTACTCAAGCAACAAAGAGCAAAGCAAAGCAATTATTTGGATCAATTTTGAGGACATAAAAAAAAGCTAAATACAAGCGAGGACACAACAAATTGAACCAATACACAACATTTATGACAGACAACAAAATACAATAAAACAAAAAACGACGGGTGATGGTTAGACTGCAATTGTGTGTGAATTTGAGTTAGTGGGCCCGAAACATAAAAGATAGAGTTACACGTAATGGAAATGACTGTTTTTGATGCTTTTTTAAAATTTTACCTTCATCGATCTCGATTGCTGACTACTTAAGTGCTCCGTATCCTTTTGATGGCCATTTTGAAAGAGTTTATTCGAAAATTCATGAATTGATGATGATTTATCAATTTTAAATTCACTAAATGCCGCAATTGCAAAGTCTTGAAATGGATCATTCATTGACATTTCAGTCTTTTTCTCTACTTTCTCACTCGCTTCATGTCCATTTGATGGAAAATCATTTTTAAATACATCATAGCGATTAGTTTTGTTCGACAAAAACATTTCTGTGGGTTTTTGGAATAATTTTGTTGTCGACGGAGCTTTTTTGGGCGAGTCAAGGAACGGATTTTTAGCCGAATCTGTCTCACACTCAAAGTTATTGGAAATACTTGATTCTTGATTTACTGTAGCGTCAAAATGATCCATTCTAAATGCTGATAAATCCTTAACAATATTACGAGATTCTTCATTCATTCCATTACAGTCCTGATTTATTTTTATATTTTACATATTTATTGTGTATTTATTTTTGAGATCATGTAGAATTGGTGAGAATTGGGGTATAGAGGAAGAAGTTACTTAAAATTTAATTATTGAGGATTTAAATAAATTCTATACTTACACTCAATGGCTTTGCAGATATTGGTGCGAATGGATCTGAACCGAATAAATCTTGTGCTCCGTTTGTTCTTCTTGGTGCTGCTACCTTTGGAGGAGGTGCCACTAAAATTATAAAAAAAAATATTAGTCAATGTTTGGTCTCAAGAAAGTCAAGAATCGTGTGTTTTGCACCATTATGGGTCTCAGATATCAAAGGATAATTGGTAGTGACTCAAAAGTCGCACACTGCTTACTACTATTGACAGAAAAAAATCTATCGCAAGTCAAATTCCATTATATGACGCATAAAAATTTCCTAACACGTATAAATCTTGCATCACAATAAATTCAAGAATCAAAACACTTTGCTTGATCTTTAAAGGTCAATAAACAAGTTGTATGATGCGTATAGCTATTAAGAAACCAGATTACACTGGAAATGCAGTCCATAAACATAACATGTGGACTTTCTGTGCACAAAAACAAAGTGTGACTCATAGTTCATGAGTCTAACACAAAATCAAGACTTTCTGGCTGTTTAAAAATTGATAAAGCTTTCTTACATAAAGGTGGCGGTGATGTTGGACCATGCGTCATCGTTTTCGTCGTTCCGTCAGTAAAATGTCCCGAACTAAACAACTGCTGTACATTTCCATTCATTTTTGGCTCGAAACCAAACAAATCATTTGACATTTTTGATCCATTGGTCATTACAGGCTCTTCAGCACGCGGATCAAATTCTGAATCTGAATCGGAATCAAGCAAATTGAGTCCTTCAAGTTTAGTTCCGATTGTTGGTTTGAGAGCATCATTGGTAATTTGATTACGCGGTGGCACAATTGGTGCAAATGTATTTTTCGGTGACGTTTCAATGAGTAATTGATCATCGTTCTGCGATACGTCAATGCCTAAAAATATAAAGAATTCAAAATGATAAGAAAAGCTTTAATTAACGTGAAATTTGTTCATTTTAAGCGCATTTTATCTACGAAAAAATAACGGTCAAAAAATATTTGAAAAATAACGGAAAAAATTAGAAAATTAACCGTTAAAACTATTTTTTGAAAAATAACGGCCAGAAATATTCAGAAAAGCAATGCAATAGACATAATGTCAGACCACAACAAGATTGTTCTTGAAATAATGCGCTTGAAAATATTCCATCGTATTTATGTTTGTAGTTCTACAACAATGGGAAATGTATTCTTATCACTTACCAAGGTCTGGCGTTTTATTTCCGTCGCTAGCTGTTGTTTCTGTGACCTGTACTTCGCAAATATCTCGTACGCCTAAACGCAACAACAATTTATCCAGATCTGGTTTCGAGAGAATTTCAGAGACCTCTCGTAAGCGCTTACGATAAGTATCGACAGTTCCTTCAAGTATTTTATTGTGTGATTGCAGCTTGGAGATTTCAAATTGCTTTCCACTATCACTCATGTAGCGACGATAAGCTAAATCAAAAGCCTGTCCAATCGTCAATGTAATGTCGGAAGCAAGCTTATTCGATATGAAAACAAAGCATTCATGAGATTCTTCAGCTGTTCCAGTCACGCTTCCAACGGACGACGACGATGATGTATTTATGCTTGTTGAATCGCCGTTTGTGTTTGCTTGTACTGATGTGCCCATTTTGGCAATGAAACTGAAGAATTTCTTTACTCCCTTCTCGTCAGCGCAGTAGCTGATTTTGTGGAGTGGAAATTGGTGCAGAATGTTGTTTGTTCTGGGCTCCTAAAATGTTAAGAAAACGAAATATTTCGAATTCAGGAAACAAAATTCAAATTCCATATGGCCGTTTTTTCAAATGCAGAAGTTTACTTCCTCAATTTCAAGAGATTACAATTGCACAAGTAACCGACAAATGCATATAATTATTTAATTGCATTATAATTACCTGAATAGCAACGCCATCGATACTGATCGTGATTTCAACTTTCTTCATCTTGACATTATTTCCGCCTTCTGCTTTCTTAATTTGTTGCGTAAACTGTAATCTCCTAATTGCCTCCTTCACAACCTCAATCCCTTTCGGCTGATCGACAGGCGTATTGCCCAAATACTTGACTAGATATGCGACATGTCCATTTGATAACGAATCAGGTGCATGCAACCAATTTCGTTGCCCATTTTTTGCATTTTTCGTCTCCGTCTTTGTGTCACTACTCTCACTATTGCTCTTATTCCAAAACTTTAATGTTGACATTTTCTACGTCTTTTCTTTTCTTTTCTTTTCACTTTTCGAGCTTTTTTATGTTAATTTTCTTACTTATTTATTATTTACAAAATTGTGCAGATGATGAAAAGTTGCGAAAATTATAAAAAATTATTTTCTGTGCTCTTGTGCCTTTTTCACGTCTTAACTGTGATGAATACAAATCTAAAATGAGAAAGAAATTTCATTGAGTCAGTTGAGAATGTAAAAAAAAAACTCCCACAAAAAATAGGCACAATAAGATTGCAAAGTAAATAATGAGAATTAAAAATAGCCCAGCAGCCTACATATTATTTACAAGTTCTAGAACTAACCAGCATATTAATATATAAATTATATACGCAGTGATAAGACAATATAGCTGCAGACAGAAGCGGCTGTGTGTAAAAATTGACAGCAGACATTCTGATAATGTTATTGTGTGTATTGAAGTTCTTTGTTAGGAAATGAGGAAAGAAATGAACGTTGTGGGAAACAGACGCAGTTGTTATTAAAATTTAATTGATTTGCAACGGTTTTGTAGAATTTGAATGTTACCGGTTTTGTAGAATTTGAATTTTAGCGGTTTTGTAGAACTCGAATTTTACCGGTTTTGTAGAATTTGAATTTTGACGGTTTTATAGAATTTGAATATGAACTGTTTTTTAAAATTATAATATCAACGACTTCTGCAAAACAGAACTTAATAAATTTTGGGGGATTTCCATTCATTAACCAGTCAAAACGACAATTCCATTCCTAAAAGCTTATCAAAAAATTCATTCAAATTAAAAACTTCATTCAGCAGAATTAAAAATTCATTGAGAATAAAAAGGGTGGAATTTCTATTTCCTTCAAAACCGCAAGCAAATCCCAAACGAGATTAGATAGCTAAGCTTTCTTTCATAATACTAATTTGCATTTGCAACTACGCAATAATCATCAATACAATAAAATATATATTAATTGCTTCGTGGCACTGTTGTTATGACTTGACTGGAAATATGAGACGAATAAGACAGATAAGAAGCTGGCACTGACACAAAAATTAACTACGTAATTTAATCATAATAAAAAACTCTTTTTACATATTTTGCGATTTTACTCAAACAGCTGTTTTTGTAAAAAAAAATCAAAATCAAAAATTACTTTGAGTCATCATCCTCTGGACCTTATCATTCCGACGAATTTCAACTAATCTGTTTTGCGCAATTAAAATATTCGGAAATTGCTTATTAAAAAAAGCCCCAAAGACTACTTATGTGCTTTTTGTGACGCCTACGCATGGATTGTTTTTAATATGAACAAGTGAATCACTTTTAACAGATGATTTTTGTTTTTTATTCCTCAATAATGATGAATGAATTTTATGGGAATTTTGACTTGAACGAAAATAAAAAAATAAATTCTAAAGTGCATTCTGATATTCAAATGCTTATTAATTCCTGTGTTTTTGTAAATATATTTTTTCAAGCAAATATAATTACGCAGAAAAACAATGCATTGATGAATAGTAATTGTTTGAAAAACTGTTAATCAAGTAGATTCAAGCTGTCTACAACGTCAAAATATATATTCAGTAGTTTTAGATATTAGAATTAGCTTTGGAGTTGTTAATAAATGAGGTTCATCTAGAATTCAAATTTTAAACACCCCCCCCCCCCCTTCCCCTCCTTTTAATAGGTTTTCTTAAAAGCGTTATTCTCTTTTTTAAAGTAGACATTATTTATAAATACCCCCTTTACAGGCACACGTGAAGCGCAAATGAAATTTCGATTGGAATGTTTTTGTTAAGTGCCTATAAATTTTGACGTGATGTGCTTTATTGGCGACTTTTAGTGAGCCTGAAATGCAGTAATTTGATTAAGGAGACAAATTGAGTTGTGATTTATTGCTTTGTTTGAACTTGCATAATGAGAGATATTCTTAGATTGCTCATTAGACTTTGACTTTAGACTTTTCTATTACGCCATCGATTTAACCGGGTTTAATGGAATTGAAAGTAGTCGCTGGGTCATTTAATACTATAAAGACACCCTGACATACTTAAACGTTGCCGTTTTGTTCCATAGATTAAACTTGTGTGATATTCAGGTTATCATATTATAATATTCGATATAGACTTGCAATCTGTAATCTCGTGAGCATCTACAAATCTTTGTCATATCAACAGCACTCTATTCAATGATTGATAGATTGGACTGTGGTGGGGATTGAGTCCACATGACTCATAATTAGGAAGTTAACAGATTTCCAGTCTATTTCATAACATCTTACAAATAGATGCCCAAGATTCCACATTTCTCCAAGCTAATAGACCCCTTTTTTGTAGATTTATTCTAATTTACATATCCTTTAACATGCTTATTTATATGTCGTTAGATGCTATTACAGTAATTGTAAATCTTAAACTTTAGGGCCTAAAGTTTAGGGTAATCACCTTGCTAGCAATAAAACCGGATCCTAATCATTTATGAATATTACAAGCACGTGTTAAACTAGTCAACAATCGATTACAATCCTCAAATTTCTCATAAAACTCCAATAAACCATTACTTAATCTTTCAGTTCATTCCACAAACCTCAACCATTCAAAAAACTGCAATCATATCGCAAAAGAGCATTTGCAGACTATTCGGAAATGATTCTTCACTTCTGCCTGCTTCCTCTGTTTATATATTACCCACATATTGGTATGTATAGTATAATTTTCATTGAGAAAGTTTTATCAGAGTTATCTAATCATGGACGTTGACCCTTATTTCTTTTCAATTTCATTTCTTCTTCTTCTCTTTCTTTAAAATCACGACACAGCGTTATGCTGCTTTTATTTTCAATAATACCCGACACACCGACAAAAATTGCTTGTTTTTATTATTATTATAGGCGCAAAAAACGCAATAGAAAGTTTCTTTGCTCAAAATGTTTTTTTTTTTTTCTTCTCTCTGTGGCGTTGTTTCGTGTGTTGATTTATTTTTTTCGCCGTCTCTTTTAATGCCTTTTTTCCGTCTTTTATGTGTTGAGTAGCGCAACCCGAGCGGCAAGAGTGTTATTTGGTAGTCGTGTGGTGTTTATGTGACAATATGTTGAACTAGTAAAGTTATTATAGCGGCAACACTGTTAAACTCGAGTTGCTGAATGTTATTTAAGGAAGCTACACATACTCCGTTAAGTTTATAATCTAAAGATCAGTTTAAACACCACAAAATGATCAAATAGGATCAGGAAGTAGTTAAAAGAATATCAAACTGGGCGATTGGTGTTGGCGAATTGACAATTTTAAAAAATCCATGAAGTGTCACAATGCAGCCATACGACAGTCATTCCAGTTATGAGCCTCCCGGGAGCATTAGCATGCTTTGTTGGAAATTAAGTAATACCATAATAAATGAGATCTCTCGTATTGAAGGATGTTTGAGGACGTCGGTTTGGATTATTCTTATTATACTCGATTATTCCATAAAAGCAGACTTAAAGCAAATCTCCGAATTGAAAAAAAGATTGTTAAAGACAAACAAAAAGTAAAACTTTTAATGCACATTTGTACAGCTTGACTTTTTAGTTGTTTGAAAGAAGCAGAAATCAGGGATTGGCAATGACTTATCGACATTTCAATATTCCATCTATATTTACTTTGTGCTTTTATGAGCAGAACCAACATTATTACATTCAATATTCCAGGAACTTTTAACGACGACTGTTGAATATGAAAAGTTATTGAATTTCCTTGAAGAAAAAAAAAATCATTTTTTTCTGTCTTTTTTACTGCTTGACAGTTTTAGCACATTTTCTCTTAAAGCAACTACTAAAACATTATTTTTTTATTACCAACAATACTGGATGTGTGAGATTACTTAATCTGCAAGCTTAAACATTATCGAAGTTTCTCTCTTTTTATTAGTGCCTGTATATTTTGATTTTAATCATTATGCGGATTACGGATTTTATTCATTATTTAGCAATTATTTGGCTAAATTGGCAACAAAAATACGTTTTGAAATGTGAAACCTCAGTGGAGCTTGTTAGGCTAAATTAATTTCTAATTGAGATTGAAGAAGTTGTGAAAAATTGCAACTGTGAATTTTTAATTTATTTTATGTTTGCGATCCTCCAATCACAATTAAAATGATGTAGTCTTTATGGTTAAGATGGATGACTTAAACTCACTAAGTACTAGTTCTAGCATTCTAATAAGACGGTTTGTTCGTCGATGGATTAACAAAACGCCTTCATGTCTTAAAGACGTTATCTAGCATTGACAACATAGTCTTGCAACTACACTGTGCTACTCAAGTATGTAGGGCCTCCATTGCCTGTCTTATCGACTAGTTTCTTCAAAAACGTCGAAAACAACATGCTTCCCCTCTAGCACCTTCCACCTCAAACCAAAAAACTAGTTTATAGCCATTAATTCAATGATTCAGACTCATTTTGCTATAATAAACATCATTTTATGATGGATAATAGCAACACATGGTCAAATTAGTCAGCCGGTGTTGATGAAAGGCCACTTTCTTGAAGCTAAAGCTTAATGGCTTAAATATTAAGTGTAAGCAAAAACTACTGTTTGCTTAAGAAATATGTAAATTGGACTTTATCCATGATAAAATGCGCTTAAAAAATCTAATAACCGGCCAGACAGTGGATGAACTAAATTTTTGTATTGAATTTATGTTATTAAAAATACATAATGAATAATTAAAAAATGGTAATAATGGCAAATGTTTATAGACTGCAAGATGTAAACATTTAAATACATAAATTTGTGTATTTATGCTCAGCATTTGAAAGTTTTATGATGTTGAATTATCTATACATCAAAATATTACGTCATCAATTGCATCTGGTATTTTATATATTATTTCATTGGAAGCGAGCAGTAAATCATAGACATCACGTATATGCATCTATAACATAATTTCTTCTAATGCTACTTGGGATGAAAAGTTATGTGTTCACTGCATTATACAATATTGATAGATAATAGAAGTAATATTAGATGATGTGATGAA